GGCATGATGTATGTATAGGGTGGAGCGAAACAGCGGATTGAGGAAGGGAGGCCCAAAGATAAAGAGAGGGCAGCTCCAAAAAACTATTGCAGTTGTTCCGTTGGCTATGATGTTTTCGAATGCCTATTCCTTGCTCGTGGCAAATCTCGCCATCTTCTTGCACGTACGTGCAGGTATTGGGGAGATTTTTGCGGACTACATTCACCATGAAATGACCAGAACCTTCATGGAGATTTCTTTGAGATTGTTCCTGATCTTGTTTCTGTTTAATCAGCTAGCTAGTGTATGGGTTGTGGTGCTTCATTTAACTTCACAATAAGTGAATATAATAGCCCATTGAGGAGAAAACTTGAGAAAACTAGCATTCTTGTTTCAGATCTCATACTTAGAGGTGATACATTTATTTTCAATTGCAAACCTGTCTTTGTTTTACGAGTATTGTGGCAATTGATTGTGAAATAGTGTGAGTAGTTTACAGACATTTCTCAAACATATCGGTTGAAGTGGAGCAACCAAAATGCGTGTCAAAATAATTGTGGGGCAATTGCAATTGGGGAAGGTTCCCGTGACATTGGTTTCCAATGTCATGGGAACCAAGGTGATTGCAATTAGTGTTTATTTATAATAACGGTTCCAGTGTTTATTTATAATAATGAATAACTTTACACTTCCAAACTCGTTATCAACTTTAATTAAAATTCTCATTTGTTCTTAAATAAATCTAATTATTCAAAATAGCTCATGACACTAATTACGAGGAAATTATTTTTGGATGCCCTTGATATTGTGGCAAAAACTACAGGGTTCAAAATCTGAAGTAAATTCGATTATGTGCAGGTCTCCCTAGAGTGTGAATCACCAGAGTCGCCAGATGGGAGTTACCAGGCAGAACGATGGTCACGACCACACGGGACTTACCGGAGCCATTGTGGATGATAGTGACAACTTTTTCCATCATGCCCAATTGCTGATGAGTTCGAGACCTCCAATGTTAAAATTATGGGACTTGCCTTTGGTGTTCTTGAGCTTCAACAACCCAATTGCAGGTCTGGAATGCACAAGTGTTGAAGAAGAAGAAATGTGCACCCATAATCACCAAAGGGAGAAGAAATTGAGGAAAACAAGAAAACTTGCGAGCTCTTAGTAACATAAAAAAAAATTGGTGTGCCCCAGTAATTATAAAAAAAGTAACTAATAGAATTTTTGACCCTAATAGCCAGTTGGACGGAATGTACCCTGAAGTAGTTCAAATTTTAGACACTCCCAGAGTTCTTACTACAAAATCAAGGGTACCCATAAATAACTTTCCGCTGTAATCACCAACAAAAGCGATAGTCCGTACAAGGCTGACCAGTAAAAACGACCATGAGAGCAAAGTATTCAAACATGAGATGTGTAAATGACACACTGCAATAAAACTAAACCAGCAAAGTATAATCTAACACACTGCAATAATATACACGTGCAAATGACATTCACTTGAACTTCCAAGCCTTTCTTTCAGACGATATTTGCTTTTTTGTAGATGTACAATCTGGAATAGTACAGGTATCCGGCAAAGATAGCCGTGCTTAGTCCAGCAAGAAGCCAATAGAAGTAGTCAAGATGCGCACGGTTCAAGTTGTCGGAAAACCAACTGTCTCCCCCGTCTCTGCTAGTGGCTTTGTCAATAATAGAAATCAGAAAGGTGCTTAAGAAGCTTCCAACACCAAAGATACTGAGGTACAAAGAGAGGCCTATGCTTTTCAGTTCACAAGGCATCTGATCATAGAAGAACTCTTGCAGACCAACCATGCTAAATGCTTCAGAAATACCAACTAATGTGTACTGAGGTATTAACCAGCACACGCTAATGGGAAGGGTTGCCCCTGGCCTGTCAACCAACCCATAGTCGAAAGCAGCCCGAAGGCGTTTCTTCTCAACTATAGCTGCAATCACCATGGACAGTATGGAAAAAACCATCCCGGTCCCAATTCTTTGAAGCATTGTTATACCCGATGGTCGACCGGTTAAAGCTCTTGCGAATGGAACCAACACGCGATCATATATAGGCATAAATAAAACTACGGAAATGCAGATGAAACATTGAAATGCAGCGGCTGGTACTTCAAGATTAGAACCAATAGATCTATCCATGGTTGCTCCTTGCTTGGTGAATAAGGTGGATGTCTGTGAAAACACAAGAGCATATCCCAAACATGTAGCCCATATTGGAGCCAGTCTGAGAATTGCCTTAGCCTCTTCAACCTCATCCATGCTAGAAGCTCTCTCGTATCCCTTTGAAGCATCAGGAACAAGCAGTGCTTTGTTAAGGAACCTATGATCCCAAAAATTTAAAATTAATGAATAAAAGATGTTTGAATTGGATCAAATGATACTTATTACTTCAGGTTTGCAAAGTAGCCACCTTGTAAGTCCATCCTAGCATGTCAAGCACTGGAAAAGAACAAAGCAAATGCATAGTTCAACTACGGAGTTTATATAAAGGAAAGGCTAATAACTTACATGAATTGTTGAGACCCTTTATTTGGCAAAACGCCTTGAACCTCAAGCTCCATTAATACTTCAGATGTGCTAGCTTTGCGATTTGTTGTAGCATAAATAAACACATGTCCGATTCTCACAAATGGGTTTTTATTATCGCTGTATTGTTGAAAACGGTAAGTAACAGTACCAAATAAAAAAGTAATCAGTGCAAGGCCCATGATGATACACGGGATTCCAAACCCAAGGCCCCAACTAAGGTAGTCTTGTATATAGGTCAGGACCAATAGTGCCACAAAAATACCAAAGTTCATCCCAAAATACCACCAGTTGAAAAATGAACTTTTGGCTTTATTCTCTTGTGGATCATGGGTATCAAATTGGTCAGCTCCAAAAGCTTGCACACAAGGCTTGTGCCCACCTTGAGCTAGTCCAACCATATAAAGAGAAAAGAAAAAAAAGATAATTTCAAGCTGAGGAGGAGAGCAGTTGCCATCATCTAAGGTGTTTTGGCAATTAAAAGACTTTGAATGAAGCGCAGCTGATAGAGTTAGGAAGCCAAGCCCCTGCAATTGAACACATCTTTGATAAAGATTCATACAATGCCTTTTTGATTAAATAATAATAATATTGTTATTGTTTTTTGTTGTTGTTGTTATTATTATTATTATTATTATTATTATTATTATCAAACTGCTCATTTAATTTTATTTTACTCTGTTAGAACTTAAAGAACCTATTGATTGATGGAAAAATACTAAGAAACTTGAAGGATGGGAACATTACTTGGGAAGTATCCTAGAAGGAAAATAAACGTGTTAAAATTAGAAACATTAAAGAGCCAATTGTGTACATGATGTAAGTAAAGACTATAGCAGCAATGGAGCATATCATCTAATACCAAAATGAATATTGACATGTAAGTACCATCACCTTAATCTAACTATGTTGGGTTATTGTTTTGAAAGGTAGCCTGAATTACTTGTCAAAACTCACCAGACTATACAAATTTATACTGCCTCTATCCCAATGTATATGTCAAGTTTGACTTTTATGCTCTACTTTGTGAACGGTTGACAATTTTTATCTATCATAATAATTTTAAAAACAGCCTTATGCAAACAAATCTTATAAAACCGTTTTCATATCATCATTCAATGTATTTTTATTTAAGTGATAGCCAAAATTGGTAAACTTTGACTACAAAATGTCAAACTGGACAAATATATTGGAACAAAGCAGGCTGACCTTTTTGTTACAATATTTTTACAAAACAATAATGAGATTAAATTGAAAAAACATAATCATCATAGGTGTAACTAATTGCAAGATATATTATAGAATGAGATTTTTCTTATACCTGTGTATGATTAGAAGTTTGGTATTGTGAAATCGGAATGCACACCATACAAATAATAAAAAAGAGAATGTACATAATGATACATAGCCATTGTGATCTGTGACAAATATGGAGATGCAGGAAAGTTAAAATATTACAAAGTAAAATATTACGCATTTTACGCCATGGAATAAGATATTGCTAAGTAAATTTTTTATATAACTTTGGAGCATCAAGAAGCTTGCTATTGCCTCCAACCAAATTTGACATGAAAGAACTTACCATATTGAGTGTCATTTTATACAAGATCATACTTATCATGGCGCCAAGTTTAGGCACGGCGCTGGGTGACACATAATATAGGAGAATTGCTATACGTTAAAAATGCTAATATGAATATATCAAGTTATATATTGTAGTTGGTAAAGTTTAAATTTTTTATTAGATCAAAGTTTAACTACCAAAGTTATTTTTAAGTACTTTCTTTAAAAAAAAAGTTGAAAAAAAATGTTACTGACTTAAGTTGGTAATAAATTAATCATTTGAAATTTTAAAAATTAAGCACCAAGTATTAATTAGGAAGATAAAGTAGAAAAAACATTAACTTGCAAATAAAATAATTTATAAAGCTTAAAAAAAAAACAAAGCACTACAGCCAAGTGCATAAAACACTTAAAAAAATAAATTACTGGACTAAAAAACAAAAGTAATGGACTAGGTGAGCCAAGTGTTGGGCGAATTGAGGGTGGAGGCTCGACCAAGAAGGGCAGCCGGCCCTAGTCTTGGTTTAGGCGGCCCTAAGTTTTCAACCCTAGTTTTGTCTTCATAAATAGCGATCTCTGTGCTTGTAATTCTGTGAGCACCTGAATAATAAAAACCCTAGTTGCAAAGTGGATTAGGTCAGCCGACCGAACCACTATAAATATTGTGTTCCGTTTTTCTCCGTTTTGATTACTGTTTTGTGTGTGTTCTTGTTTGGTTGTGGTTTGCTATTCAGTATTCTTAGATACCCCAACAACTGGTATCGGAGACTTAGGTTCGTGATCGTTGATATCTTCCCTCGGGTTTGTGGAGATCAGGTTCAAATCGAAGATTAGGGTTTTGAAGGGTTTGAAGATCAGTTCCGCCACCGTCATAGTTTCCGCTGCAGAATACGGTCTGTACTGTCTTGTGAACAGTAACCGTGCCGCTGCTGCTAGGGTTTTGTTTAGCCGCCGCTGCTAGGGTTTTGAATTGCCACTGCCAAGTCTAGTTCGTTATGAAAAGATAAAGATTGAAAAGTTTGATGGAAGTGATTTTGGGTTTTGGAAGATGCAAATCGAGGATGTTCTTTATCAGAAAGACTAATACCAAACGTTATCGGGAGAAAAGCCAGAAAAGATGAGAAAAGATGAGTGATGCAGATTGGGCGATTTTGGGCAGGAAAGCTTTGGGAGTGGTTAGATTGTCATTGGCGAAGAGTGTTGCTTTCAACATAGTCAATGAAACGACTACGCACGGGTTACTGAAAGCTTTGTCGAATATGTACGAGAAACCCTCAGCATTGAACAAGGTGTTTTTGATCAGACAGTTGGTTAACACCAGAATGAGGGAGGGTGCTTCAGTTACCATTCACATCAACCAGTTTAATTCGGTCATAACTCGGTTAGGATCAGTTGGAATTAAGTTTGATGATGAACTTCAGGCATTGCTGCTTTTATCTTCTTTGCCTGACAGTTGCTCTGGAAGTCAGTAGTGCATCTGGTACTACTAAGTTTACTTTTGAAGGAAATCGGGACTTGATTCTAGGTGAAGACATCAGACGCAGAAGTTCAAGGGATTCTTCGAGTGCACTCTTGAGTACTGAAGGTAGAGGAAGAAGGAACAAAAGAGGAAGCAACAGTGGTAGAGGCAAGAGTCAGTCCAAGCATCGGGAAGGAATTGTCTGTTGGGATTGCAAACAGACAGGACATTTTAGAAGTCAGTGTCCGAATGGTAAAAAGGAAGTGAATACTACAGAAAGCTGCTCAGACAATAGTGATGATGTGTTAATCTGTAGCGTAGAGAGTAGTATAGATTCCTGGGTGATGGATTCTGGTACATCTGTTCATGCCACACCCAACATGAAGATGATGAAGAATCTGAAGATTGGGGACTTTGGTAAGGTACGACTTGGTAACGA